GCAGAACAGGAATCTGCTGTAAAACAGCAATTATGCTGAGTCAGGCTTGATTTTTAGTAATCTTTTCCTGTTAATAAAAAAAAAAGTGTTAAACTGTCAGATCTGACAACAACTTTGGAGTACCAAAACCTTAGCTTTGATGATTTGAACACAGAAAAGCTTTACATATTTTTCAAAACAGGTCTGTGRAAAAAATACTAATATTAGAAGATTATTTTATCTAACAATGATATTGTTTGATTTATACTAACATTACTGTCATCTTAAATTTTAAAGCTGCATAATAASAAACAGGGAAATTAAGTTAAAACATGTGCCAAACATCCCACGTGCAACGTTGGCACGAAAATACGGTTTTTAAATAGACACCGAGGAGAACTGTAAAAACTACTGATACTGACTACGCTAAAAGAAAAACAGTTTTGCACGAGATAACTGCATATATGTATTTTAGTTACGACGATACACACGGTAACGTAAGTCGACGTGTTGAACTTATAACAGGATAAAAACATCACTCAGCTGGAATTATTAACGAAGACTTACCTGAACCGTCTTCAGAGACACTTCTTCTTGTCCATAAAAATATGTAACGATAAAAAAAAAAGGTTAAGACTATATCATTATCGGTAAGAGGAGCAGAAACGAGGTCCCTACCTGCCGACAACAAAGCTAGCTAACGCAAGCAGACAGCTACAGCCGTGCTTCGTTCTTTCTGAGAACTTGGCTGTTGTATCAATCCGCGAAGCGGAACACAGAAWATTCATAACAATCCTCAGTTCTACGGAAAATTGTTTACGTAATTTGAGTATKATGTTATTTATTTGTGTTTTTATTGCGCTTAGTTTTGATCATGTCGTTTCARTTTCACATGATTTTACTTCGAATGTACTACTTTGTTTACATTTTGGCGGAGCAATACTACTCCGCTTAAGAAATTGTAATTTAAAAAGGTTTGAAATTCCGCGCGAAGGGTTATGATTGGTTGACATTGTCACCGCCCTGCGAAAAGGGCGGAAGGCTTTTTGTACTTTGGAGGGGAAGGATTATTGAACTTCCTTATTAGTTTTTAAACATAGCAGAAGTGTTTTTATGCTTTTTAGTCAGTTTTACGCACCCCATTTTGCATTTTATTAATAGTCATATAATCCAGATTTTAGAAGTTTATCTGCCTTAAACATACCTGATTTGAATGAATGGGTGATTACCAGACTTGTGCAGAACTTGATGATCTGCTGAAGAGCAGTAAACTAAAACATGTAGGATAGGGGGCCCCTGAGGACCAGAATTAAACGCCAGTTTGAGACTATTATTACAGTACAAATCGTTGATTTCTATTTTTATTATAACTAATGATGTATCAGAAGTGAAACATTTACTGAGAATGTTACCTTTATGTTGACTATTTTTGTTTTGATTGAACATATTTTCATCAATTCCGTTCATCTATAAAACCAGTTCCAAAGTTGAGTTGATTTCATTTTTAGAATGATCATATTTAAGAATGCTTTATTACCAGTGATATTAGAACGTTTCAGGTCATTCATATTATTTTCTGTCTCATACGGTTTACTAGATCGGTGTTGCCCAAAGTTGGGGTCGGGACCCAAAGTGGGGTCCTCAAACGTCAAGGTGGGGTCC